CCACGCGGGTTGATTGCGCTCAGGGTCTCCGTGAGAGAGCCCGGCTGGGGAGGTGGCCGCAGCCCATCCCCTCCGCTCCCCGCCCGGGCCCAACTCTCAGGGACAAGGGCTGAGTAAGTGGGAAATGTGCTGAGGAGGGGAGTCTTATGATGATTTTTTAGCATAATTAAATGTCTGGAAAGCATAGAGAAGATACCACACGTTGTAAAGGTGCAAAGTAGTAGTATTATAATGGTCTTGTCTCTTGTTGTAATGTGATGTCTATAGACTTCCCTGGCTGGCCTGATTTTCAAAGACACTGAACATCCATTGCTCCCATTAAAGTGAGTGGGTGCTCAGCACTTCTGAAAATCCAGACCATTATTCTTATAACATAACCTGAGGTATTGCAAGTAACACTAAGATATTCAGGCAGTCCACATGTAGGGAAGAGACAGCAGCATCTGTTTCTCTCTCCTGCGGATATGGTCTTCACCATCGCTATTCAGCAGCACAGTTTCTAGAAGGATGTCAGAGCAAAGGCTGGCTGTCAGGGTTCCCTCCCCACTCTGAACTCTGGGGTACAGATGTGGGGATCCGCATGAAAGACCCCCTAAGCTTATTTCTACCAGCTTAGGTTAAAAACTTCCCCAAGGCACAAATCCTTTCCTTGTCCTTGGACGGTATTGCTGCCACCACCAAGTGAGTTAGACAGAGATTCAGGAAAAGGACCACTTGGAGTTCCTATTTCCCCAAAATATCCCCCCCAAACCCCTTCACCCCCTTTCCTGGGGTGGCTTGAGAATAGTATACCATCCAATTGCCTTTAATAAAAGTACAGACCAGACCCTTTATCTTTAGGACATTAAAATCAATCAGGTTCTTAAAAGAAGAATTTTATTTTAAAAAGAAGTAAAAGAATCACACCTGCAAAATCAGGATGGAAGATAACTTTACAGGGTAAATAAAAAGATTTAAAATACAGAGGATTTCCCTCTAGGCTTAACTTCAAAGTTACAAAAAGCAGGAATAAAACTCCCTCTTAGCATAGGGAAAATTCACAAGCTAAAACAAAAGATAATCTAACGCATTTCCTTGCTTTTACTTACATTTTTTGTAATCTTAGATGCTCATTTCAGGTAGGTTTTTAGGAGATGGTTTTTCCTGCCTGCTCCCTCTCTCGTCCAGAGAGAGAACAATCAAAGGGAGCACAAACAAAACTCCCCTTCCCCCCTATTTGAAAATATCTTCTTTTCTTATTGGTCCTTTTGGTCAGGTGCCGACCAGGTGATTTGAGCTTCTTAACACCTTACAGGTAAAATGATTCTGTACCTCTGTCTGTACCTCTGGCCAGGAAAGATTTTATGTTACTGCATACATAAAGGTTGTTACCCTTCCCTTTATATTTATGACACTGGCTTTATCTATACAAATGTCTAACCAAACCCAGTCTTTACCACCAAACCCCCTCTTTCCAGGAACTGTCCGTTTAAGTAGTAGTACCTTCTCTATCCTGCACATGAATTGCCTGGATTTTCTTGATGTTACCTGCAACATCAAGTTGCCAGTATTTTCACTTTGTCCTTTTTCCTCTGGCTTGCTGGAAGGGGAGCATCTCTCCACTGAACCAGTTCCCGAGGTGCTGTCACATGTGACCTTTTAACTCGTCACATTGTTTAAAATAGTCAGTGCAATAGACAAGGAAATGACCACATTTTCCAGTGAGAGGGCATAGTTTATATCTTGTAAGTACATGAACCAGGGAAAGTACAACAGATTAAAAACAGTATGCACTTCTAGACAGTCTGCCATCTGAAAATGTAAAAATGCTTGTAAACATTAATGGGTTCTTAGAATTGCTATACCTTTGCGCTAGAGAAATAGCATTACTCTTCTGTGGGGGAAAGACATACAGGGAGAAAGAGTTATCTATGACTGCACATGAACATATGTGAGAGAACCATGGAAACAACCCCCTTCTCCTGACTCCCATGCCTTCATCATGTGGGCTCTTGCGTTTTACGTGATATAAGCTTAAAACACCCACTCTCTATCTTTCAGATAGACGCCATCTACGCCAGTCAAGAAACCAGCAAAAGTATTTCACAATGGATATAGATGATGAAGAAAATATGAGTAAGATGTGTATATTTACATCATAAACAATATAATCCTTTCTGCAAGAGCCATTTTCCTTGCTGCTGGGTGGCAAACAGAAATGATGTGAATACAGTGAGAGGAAATTTCTGTGTGTGTAGAGTTCACTTTATATGTGTGTTCATTAAAGAAGAATTTCCATACTGGGAAAGCTTTCAAATACATCTGATTAACACATAATCCAGTTACCCTTCATGTGATTTATATCTTCATACCATGATCACTAATCATCAAAGATATTTGTATTTCAAAACAGCATGTTCCCTCTTAGCCTGTTTTCTCCTACTTTGAACCTGCAGTGAAGTAATGATGATTAATTCATACATCTAGGGCTTGCACTGAAGAAATATGGGGTGGTATAGTGTATTGCTACAACATGCATGCATGTATCCTGTGTAGCATACTATCTCCTACAAAAAACATTTCTAGATTTCCCAACACCTCTAGCTCTATGTACTTTCTACCTAATATTTCCAAATGCCACCCCGCAGAAGAACTGGAAGTAGAGATTACAGGACTATCCTAAACTCATATGATGTCTGGGTTAGTGTAAGAGAGGAACTCCTGCCTCTTACAATCTTCCAGCTAGATTACAGGCTGAACAGAGATATTATCTGCCCTAAAGATCAGAGCCTTTGTGCGCCAGGAGCGTGCCTGTAGCTGGCCAGTCAATCAATAGGCAATAGATGGAATGAGATTTGAAGGGAACAGAGATCATTATTACTTTTGGGGTGTACCTGGGGGAGAGGAAACTAGGTAAATGGGGCAAGAAAGAGAGTTCGGGAAACCTGGGAAAGGGACAGGAATTGTGAGGACATGGGGTACAGGAGAATGGAGGGAGGAAGGATAAAGGAGATCAAATATAAGGGTTTGTGAAACAAAAAAGAGGGAACATATAAGGAGAGAAATCAAGTAATGGAGGAAAGAAAAGGAAGAAAATTGTACAGTGCTCTGGCCCCCAGCTATTTAGAGTAATAGATTGTTCTCATTAAAGGTTCAGTCTTGCTCTGGCACAGATCCAGCAAAGCATTTAAGCAAGTGTGTAGCTTTAAGTATGAGTAGCCCCTTGGCTTCAATGGAACTCCGCAAGGGCTTAAAGTTAAGCACGTCTAAATGCATTGTTGGGTTGGTGTGAAAGTACTCAGCCTCATGCAGGGTTGAGCCCTAATTACTTACAGAAAGAAATACTGCAACCACATCATTATGCAGTTATCTCATTTTAAAGGTTTTTGGTCTTTTAACCATCCTTATTTTTTGTGAATGATAATGAAGTAGTGTATATGTGTTGCTCTTGAAGTACTGTGCATGAAAATCTCCTATGCTTTACTGTAAATTGTTCAGTGCTGTTTAAACACAAGCATTTATTTATTCTGTCCCTGAATTGTAAAGCTAACATATATCATACACTTTCTTTGACAAAGGTACTGACATCCTAACAGTACAGCAAGGCCTTGTATGGGAAAGATACAGTTTTACCCGGGAAGTTACAGTGCATTTTTATTGGGAAATCAAGAAGCTGGGCTGCTGTAAAATGACTTCATTTTATTAAAATTCATTCTTCTGGGCTGTGTTTCTTTAATTAAAATACTAGCTTGGGTTGGCCTGTGTTTGCTGCATATGCAATATCATAGCCTCCAATTATAATCTCTATTTTACCTGCAGAGACTAAAACTCAAATCAAATTGGTTGCGCAAAATTTTAACGCAATGGTTATATTTTTTTTCTAAAATACGGAAAAAATTGAAAAAACATTTGTTGGGATTTCAGGTGAAAGTGGGTATAGTGCCTTTTTTTCTTTTATGCATTGAAGGTGTGGAGAAGGTGGTATAACAACAGAAACAGAGGAAACACTTATAATTTATTTATTGATTTGAATTTTTTTACTGCTCCACATTAAGCACATCCAGTGCTCTGAGTGTCCTTGGCAATCTTTTAAAAATGTTCATAATAATAAAAAGACCCATCAATTACCTCAGTATAAAACCACATAACCCTGCAACAGAATCAAAATAGCAAAAATTATTTGACCTCCCCTCAAAATCCCTTCTCCTCACAAAATTCATCCCATTGCCCAGATCTACCCATCAGTTTGTGGCTGAGGGAGAAGAGATGGGCCTTGCAGCACACCCTGAATTCGAACCGATTCAGTTTGATGGATCCCCTTACTGCTGTACTGATCTCTTTCTATTTTTCCAAGTTTCTTCCCACAAAACTCATCCAGAGAGTGCTCACACATGTGTAGTTGGTCTCGTCACTGCTCCACATGCCTGCTGCAAGGGAAGTTGCCCTTGCTAAGAGTTCCCCAAGAAAGTTAATGAGAACAGCAGTAAAGAGGATGACAACATTTTTGCTAGCTCTGCCTTAACCAAGAGGGTAAAATTTAGGCAAGGGAGGCAGAACACGGAGAATATTATTTTCATCAGATGAGGGGACTGCCCCCGTGGACCACCTTACCTTCATGCATTTGTTAACTATGTCTTTGACCAGGAAACTCTCAAAAATAAACAGGCACACTTGTAACAGATGCCTCCTCTCTTCAAAGAGGTAAATGTTTTCTTTGTAGCACGCCTTCCTTCCTTGCTCTGGTGCCTTATACTTAGTAAAGCTCCGGGGAAAGAAAGTTTCAGTGGCAAAACTTGTTTCTTTTTCTGCTGAAAATGTCAATGGCTGATCCTTTTTTGCCAACTCAGATACTACAAAAATGCCTGAAATCTCCTGTCCACCCTGGAATATTTTTAGTGTACATAAAACAAATTAGCTTGTCTGAGAAATGGCTCACTCTCAAGTTATCTGGGGCCAAGATTTTCAAAAGTTGTATCCTGTAGTCAGACATCTAAATCCATATTTAGACTAGTTTGCAGAAGTTCTGAGTACAAAACAGCTCTCATTGACCATAATGGAAGCTGTGAGGTATGCAGCACTTCTGAAAATCAGAGATGCTTAAATACATGTTTAGAGTCTAACTTTTTGAAAATCTTGACCCGAGTGGTTAAGTGACCACTGGAAGAGTGTGTATCCTCACCAAGGAGAGGTTCAAGTGGACATCTCTTCACCTGTTCAACACAAAAGCTGATTTGAAAGAAGTTGTATCCATTTTGCTCAGTGCAGTGTTTTAACAGTTCAGATAGGCTGAAAGAAAGGCTTCACTATCAGCTAAGAATTGTACTTGTCAATACAGTTGTTGGTATTGATATTTCTGAGCATGCTGCTGGTTCTAATGGA